AAATCAAATCAAATAAATAACTCAAGGCAGCAAATGAACATTCATCTTCCTGCCTCCTCCAATTTTCCCCAAAACAACAGAGATTGGGTGGGGGGTGGAGGGGGTGAAAGAAAGGGAACAGCCCAAGCGGAACTAGAACTCATCACCTACTGGTGTTTGGCCAGGTGCCTTAATTGCTAGACCCAACTGGCTCATTTCCTTGACTCATTTACTGCTTCAGAAAAAATTAGCACAAACAATGAATGAATGAATGAGAAAGAAAGAAGGAAGGAAGGAAGGAAGGAGGAAGGAGGAAGGAAGGAAGGAAGGAAGGAAGGAAGGAAGGAAGGAAGGAAGGAAGGAAGGAAGAAAGAAGAAAGAAAGAAAGAAAGAAAGAAAGAAAGAAAGAAAGAAAGAAAGAAAGAAAGAAAGAAATTTTATTTGCCACCCATGTGGTATCCGATGACTCTGGGCGGCCTTTCCAAGCCCTTCTCCTCAGCCCAGCCTATAGATCACAAAAACCAGGCTGCTTGTGGGTGTTGTGCGTTGTGTTCTCTTGTGGCCCTTTCAGATATGGGGAAAAGATATGAGGGGTGCTGTGATGGGTGGTTCTCTCGGGTGGGAAGGGGGCGATACTTGGCCAATGTATTGTAAGTTGGAGATGGGTTTCTCATCATTATTGTTATGGAAGGAAAAAGAGAAGCGTCAAAAGTTTCAACCAGATCATTTGTCCTTTTTTCCCCGCTGTTCTCTTTTCTCCTCCCCCCCCCCCCCCCCCCCCCCCAAAAAAAAAAAACAACAACAACCCCAACCTACAGAAATTTTCAGGAGCCAGCAAATCACAGCAGCCAGCAGGAACAAAAAGCATGTCTTTCACAGCTGGAAAATCCAACAGGTTGGTAGAGTTTAAAAACAAAGGTTTTTTGTTTAAAAACAGCTGGAATATTGGAACTATAGATAGTCCTGAGTCCAGCTTCCCCGCTGACTTCGTTAGAAGGCCGCAAAAGGGGATCGTATGGCCCCCGGGACACTGCAACTGCCATAAATACACGCCAGTTGCCAAGCGTCCGAATTCTGATCATGTGACCTACAACGGTTGTACATGTGAAAAATGGTCCTGCTACTTTTTCAGTGCTCTTGTAATTTTGCGTAGTTGCTAAATGAAACGGCTGTTAAGTCAAAGAACTGTCTGTACTTTGCAAAGAAGATTTACAAGGGTTCTTCTAGTCCATAATATGTCATGCCACTATTTGGTGATCATTTGCCCTCCTGGGGTGAAGTTGGAAATGAAGTAAATAGCTGGGCAATTCCTGACGCTTAAATTGTTCCTCCTTTTAAACCTAAATCAGTTCAGCTCTCTTCTTACTGTCAGGATTCCGGCAGTTGCCCCCAAATAACTCATGGAGCAAAACTTCCAAAGGATTTATTGGGAGTTAACATGTCCGGCACTGCCTGGGTGTAGCCGACTCTAAGACGCACAATTCACTGTCACCCTTGAGCCTGGTTTTCCCTCCACCCCCCTGGGTGTATCGTAATTCATATTCTCCAATGGGACACATCCATAGCCCAGAGTCATCAATCAGGCTCTCCAGTCAGAATTTTGCAAGGCAGAAACTTCGATCACCTAGTTACTCTCTTTGAAAACATTTATGGAATGCAGTTTCGGTTTGCAAGCAGCTGCACTGCTCCCTCCCTTTCTGTTGGCAACTCTAAAAAGACCGTAGAAATATTTTATGAGTTGACACTTACTTTTCTATCCATCCTGACACAGGGGTTTCCGGCACAACTGGCCAAAAAGATAACACAGTTCACGGAAGTTCTTGGAAGACACGAGAACTGAGAAAATCCTGCCACTTTTTGTATGGATATCTGTTTTCGATTTTTTTTTCTTTTTAAACAAATAAAGTGCTTTTCTTTCCCCCCGAAAAGGAAAGAAGGCAAGTTTAAATTAAGTGATAATTCATTTGCTTTGCTTCTATTATTTATGCATTCCACTGTTATTATGGCTTAAATTAGTTTTATTTACATTAACGTTCAAGTCAGTTTACTTAACAGTGAGGGGAACGGGAAATTAAACATATAAACTGATTGAGATTGTTCCAGGGTTTCTGAGCAGATGCAGAGTGCAACTCTCTCTCTCTTGAATAATGGTAGAAATGCTCCCCAACAGCCAGCTGCCCCAAAAGAGTCAGTATTGAACTAACTGGCATTCCTCACTGACCTCCAATAGGTAATGGGTAGAGGCCTGGCTAGCTATGAATGGGATACCACCAGGAGATCTCATGGCTGTAGACTGAGAAGCCAGCAAACATCTCAGAAGGCAAGTTAGTAACCTGGTTGTTGTGAATCTGACCTGCCCATTGACTTTGCTTTTTTAAATCAGTTTATAATATAAACTAGAACAACACAAAAGAAAATAATAGGAGAGAGATGGGAGGAAACAGGAAAGGGAAAACTGTAGGAAAATGAAAGAAAAGATGTTGAATTCCAACTGTAGAAAAAGATAACATGAAACCTCAGCTTTTTACTTTTATGTAATAGCATAAACTAGCCATTTCTATAACAACAAGCCTATCTAATCAGTTAAACCCAAAGTCAAACTTTCATTTTTGTTTTCCCCCCTCAAGCACAAAGTCCAGAAACGGTTTCCAAGTAGAAACAAAAGTCATTGTATTTTTTTTTTTCCCCTTTAACCCAAGCGGTCAGTTTAGCCCTCTCTGTTTAACCCCCATCGACTTCTGCAGCCGATTCATCCGTGGCGGGAATCAAACCACCCTTCCAATTTTTGCGCGTAAAAAGTAGCCTGGCTGCCCGTGGACTTTGCTTGTGAGGGGGGGGCACAAAAGGGGTCTCACGTGATCTTGGGACACAGCAACGGTCAATCAAGATGACTCAGCCACCAAGCATCTGAATTCTGATCGCACGGGGGAAGCTGCAAAAATGATTAAACCTCAAAAATGCTCTCCCAAAGTCACATTTTTCAGTGGTTGCAACTTTGAACGGTCATTAAGCTATTGTAAGTTATTGTTACCTTTATTGTCAGAGTACAACATGTGTACAATGAGATTGGCAGAGCCTCCCTTCGTGCACACACACACACACACCCAACACAACTCACAGTGAGGACAGAAGTCCCTAACCCAGATCCAATCTTATTACATTATGTGACCTTGTTGCACAACAGCCGTCCCCGCAAGACTGTCATACGATGTTGACATAAAAGTTATTTTCCATTCAGGAGTCTTGACAGCCCACGGGTAGAAATTGTTCTTCAGCCTGTTGGTGTGGCTGGCTCTGGCCCGATGGTAGGAGAGCGAAGAAGTGCTGACCAGGGTATGAGTTGTCCCTGAGGATTTTCCTCATGCTTCTAAGGCAGCGAGCCCTAGCGAGGTCATCTAGTGGTATCAGGGAACAGCCCAGGATGTTTTGTCCTGTGCTCACCACCCTCTGTAATGTCTTTCTATCTGCGGCTGTCAAGCCAGCATACCGCACCGTAATGCAATATGAGAGAACGCTTATTATTGTGGGCCGGTAAAAGGAAATCTCATCAGTCGTTGTTCCACTTTATTCTTTCGCAAAGACCCGGAGGAAATGGAGTCTCTGTTGGGCCTTTCTGGCCACCTGGCTTGTGTTGATTTTCCAGGTAAGATCTTGAGGTAGACTCCCAGGGATTTAAAGGTGGGCTACCTGCATAGAAAAACGGGTTGAAACAACACTGCAGGCCCCGAGAAAAGCTAGGGATCATCCAGGTTGTGGTTGTCCCAAAAGTGCTTTTTTTTCCAAGAGGCCGCTGGACTTTCTTTGTTTTTCTTTGAAGACGTTTCGCTTCCCATCCAAGAAGCTTCTTCAGCTCTGACTGGATGGTGGGGAAGGGAAGGATTCCCTCAGGGTGAACACAGATAAGATTCCAAGTGGCCTCAATGGCTCTCTAAAAAGGATGCAAATGACCAGCTGTCTGCAAGGAGTATAAATCCTTCCATTATTCCTCACCATCCAGTCAGAGCTGAAGAAGCTTCTTGGAGGAGAAGCAAAATGTCTTCAATGAAAAACAAAGGAAGTCCAGTTGCCTTTTGAAAAAAAAAAAAAAAGGCACCTTTGGGACTCCAGGAGCAAAGTTGGTCTCTGAAGAGACTAGAGAAGCATCTGAAATGTGGATTTTACAGGCGGCCGTGACGTATAAGCTGGGTTGACAAAATCAGAAAGGAGGAGGGGATCAGCCACCTGGGAAAGCAGAGGGAAATCATCAAAACCCATTAAAAAGATGAAGTTGTAATATTTCAGACCTATGAATGCGTATGACACACACTTCAGGGAAAGATTGAAGGCAAACGAAGTCCAGGCAGAAGAAGAACTTCATGGCTTCGTTTTGTCCGGTGTGGACAAAACTCGGCAACACTTTTTGTGTGGCTGTGGAGAAAACTAGGATGGCCAACATGATCGCCAACGTGGATATGGAAGGAGGAGGAGGAAGAAGAAGGAGGAGAAGGAGGAGGAGAAGGAGAAGAAGAAGAAGAGGAGGAGGAGAAGGAGAAGAAGAGGAGGAGGAGGAGGAGAAGAAGAAGAAGGAGAAGAAGAAAAGAAGAAGAGAAGGAGGAGAAGGAGAAGGAGAGAAGAAGGAGAAGAAGAAGAAGAAAAGGAAGGAGAAGAAGGAGGAGGAAGAGAACAAGAAGGGAGAAAAAGGAAGGAGAAGGAAGGAAGGAGGAGGAGGAGGAAAGAAAAGACGTCCCGGCCAGGGTTCCAGCTGTAAGTCAGCCACGTGGAGGGACTGCCCCTCGCTTCCGCGTCCGCCTTCTCCCAGCCAATCAGGGCCCGCCTTTCCCGCCGCTCCAGCGCCCCACGTGGCCAGCCCTGGAACGCGCAACCTACCCTGCTAGCTTCACTCGCTTTGCTCCCGCCGCCTGGAAGCGGGGCCGGCCAATGAGAGCCCGGCTTCCCGAGTTGGCGCGGCTTCCCATTGGGCCCGCCCTTCGGGAAGGGCTGCGGCCACGCCTCCTGGACGAGGGGAGGGGGAAGCCGAGGTTCGCTTGCGGCGCGGACAGGTGGCAGGTGGCCGCCGCAGTGGCCCAGGGAGGGAGGGAGGGAAGCTCGCTCTGCTCCTCCTCCTCCTCCCCCCCCTCCCCGGTTGGCCCGTCCAGCGCCGCCTTTGCAGCGAGCGGAGGCGCTTCCCCGACGGGGCTGGGCGGCTATGGAGGCTGGGGCTGCGGGGGAGGCCGCTGCGGCCGGAGGGGCTGCCTCGCAGGTGGAGGAGGGCTGGTTCCGCGAGACCTGCAGCCTGTGGCCCGGGCAGGCGCTCTCCCTGCAGGTGGAGGAGGTGCTGCATCGCCAGCGCTCGCTCTTCCAGGAGATCTTGGTCTTCCGCAGGTGAGCCCACCTGGGAAGGGTCTGCAGGGGCGGGAAAGGCAAGGTCCCAGGTCCTGACTCGGCGATCTGCAAAGGAAGCCATGCGCTCCATCCCAGAAGCCGAGGATCGAGCGGCGGGCGCGCAGGCAGGCATGCATGCAACGGCTCTCCTTGGCCCAACCAACAGGCAGCCTTCGCCCAAGGGAGCCTTCGCCCCGTGGGTGGCACCCGACCCAAATCGGCTCGTGCTGCCGAACCTCCAAGGCTTCCTGGCCCAGGGATGGAGAGGCACCCCGGGGATAAAGGATCAGCCGAAGCCGGGTGGGAAAAAATGGAAAGGAAGTGGGGAAAGTGGGTTTTTGGGGGGGGGGGGGGGGGGCAAAGAAAGAGAGTGCTGATCAAAGCAGGAATCGCCACGTGTTGTTGGATGGCGAGGTGAGTTTTATCCTCCAGGGACAGCAAAGGTCACCCAAAGTCTATAAGCAGGTCATCTTTTTGGAGAGGCGAGGCTTCTTCCCTTTTGAATCTTCCGCCTTAAAACTGAGCGGGATCTTCCATGCTCTTCTCCTTTCCCAGCAAAACCTACGGGAACGTCCTGGTCCTTGATGGAGTCATCCAGTGCACGGAGAGGGATGAGTTTTCCTACCAGGAAATGATCGCCAACCTCCCTCTGTGCAGCCATCCAAACCCTCGGAAGGTGAGCGGCTTTGCTTTGCTTGTTGGCTACCTGGGCTTGGGACGGCGGCCCCCACGGGGGTGTCAGGCCAAGCTTTGCAGACACACCTGGTGACCTTGTGTCCGCGGAGCCCAGCATCTTCTCTTTGGGGTTGCTCTGCCCTGGAGCAGCCTTTCCACGTGGAGATTTCTTGTCTGGCTACAGCTGCCCTGTTTGGGGGTGAACAAAGCATCCAGGTGTTAAATTTAAAGGTGAAAGCAGAAGCTGTTTGCTCCATTCCATACTTGGGTAGCCCCAATAGACCCGTCTCACTGGAAAAACACTTAAAGCATTCAGATGTTGGCCAGTGGTCCTTAATAGAATGTCTAGAATATAGAATTCTTTTATTGGCTGAATGTGATTGGACACACAAGGAGTTTTGTCTCCGGTGCATAAAGCTCTCGGTGTTACATACAAGCAACAAGTGATAAATCACGATCATCATTAATTATGTGTCCATGCATCTAGTTCTCATGTCCCAAAGGTGCTTTTTTTTTTTTCAGCACCTTTGGGATCACCATGACTGAGAATGTCCATAAACATCTAGTTTTCATGGAGAAAAAATCTGTTGCAATGCCCACTCTGTAGCATTAACATCCCACGCCCCAAAGATCCATAAATTTCCCATCTTGGTGATGTTTAAAAAGTGTTTGGAACCATGGCTGTTCCCCCAGGCCTTGAGGGAGTGTGGGTGCCAAACCCTGTAGGATTACATCTAAGTATTTGTCTCCTGGTAGACGCATCCAGCCTGTGCCTTTTTTCTGCTTTTAACACTGTAAGCTGTCTTGGGGATTTGGGTGGCCTCTAAATCCACGTAAGGCTTTGATGGAAATTTGGCTTGTAGCTTGAGGCAGTACCTTCTCCTTCTTGTCCAGATACTGATTATCGGTGGCGGCGATGGCGGAGTCTTAAGAGAAGTGGTCAAGCATCCTTCCGTTGAGTCGGTGATACAGTGTGAAATCGATGAGGTATGCCTTGATTTGCAAAAACTGGATTATGGGAACTGGTCTAGTGTCTTCTGTATGAAAATCCGACACTGGTACTCCAAATGGCACGGATGTATTTTACCAGTAAGGAGGTATATGTGTCTAGATGTATTTTATTTCACTCCGAGATCAGCGTAAGATAATATTTAGCACTAAAGACATTGTGAGAGGAGAGTTGTGTTAATCTCTAGTAGCAAAGCTTATCTTTTTAATGAATTCTACTCTAAAGAAGGGCTGGCTGTCCTGATTTAAGTTACCCAGACATCACAATGATTTAATAACGACTATCACCAAGATCCCGTATAACCTTACAACATAGAACTAAAACTCATGGGAATCTAAAATGAAGCAGGGTTGTAAAATTGCAGGGTTGCGTGGATGTGATTGAAACCTGTTTTCCAGTTGTTTGGACTTCAGCTCCCAACATTCTTAGCAATGGTGCCAATCCAATCCCTTTGCTTATATCTAGATTTGCAGTACTGTGCAAGATTCAGGTTTTGTATACATCCCCGAAGACTGCCGTGGTCTATTGTCCTTAGGAATTTTATTCCAATGTTTCACTGAAATCCACTTCCTTGCAGTTTCCCTGTTTGGATGAGAACGCTGTTGTGTTCTCTGTCCCCCAAACAAGGGTTGCATCTGGTTTTCCTTTAATGGAACATTGTCCTGGTTAGATTTCATCAGGGGAGGATAATTCCAACTAGCAGAATCTTTCAGAGTTGGGTGGAAGAGAAAATTAAAAGGAGGCAGGAAACACTGCTTGCCCCAACTTGGAGAGTGCTGTGTTTTAGCCTGGAACAGGACGTTCTTCACCAAAGATGCCCCCAGTGAAAATCAAAACTCCAGGGCAGGAATGTTTTCGCAATGGATTTACTCCCTCCGAGTCCTCAAACAACCTCTTAATTCCCGGATGTTGGGAGGCAGAAAAACAAGGAGAAACTCGGCAAGCCATCCGATTATGTTTCCTGTAAAAAGTTACTATTGCAGTTGGTTAATCTGATATTTACTGGGACTCATTCTCAGGCTGTTTACTTCTGAATTTATGGTCAGCTGAAAAGTAGCCTGTATATCATGCAATCGCAGCCTGGAGAACTGAAACAGGTAGGGCCTAATTCCTGCGTGAATTGGGAAAGCAGAGAGAGGCTTCCTAATTAATTCTGTGTTCTGGCCACGTGAAAAGGAGGGCGTTAGGACTAAGCACCAGAAGGGCTGTGGCTTAATAGTAGCTACAATCCGAAAGGGCAAGGACTTTCTTTGTTCCATCGATTGGCAAAAGAGGCCCATGCCTGTCAAATCGGTTAACCCGAGCAACAGTTTGGGCTGAGCTTGCTCCTGGAATGCTCGCTGGACGTAGAAAAATGCACGAATCGAAATGTTGCAGGACGTGATCCAGGCCTCTAAGAAATACCTCCCCAGCATGGCCGTGGGCTACTCCAGCCCGAAGCTGACGCTCCACGTTGGGGACGGCTTTGAATTCATGAAGCAGAACCAAGAGGCTTTTGACGTGATCATCACCGATTCCTCTGACCCCATGGGTGAGTCTGCGGAGCCGGGCCCCACCCGCGCCCTTCCCAATCCACCTTTTTTCCTGCTTTCGCTTAAGGCCTCCCTCTCCCCGTTTAATCCTCCCAATGACCCGGCCAGGTCGGTTGGTCGAGAGAAAGCAGCTACTCTGGATTGTCCCAAAGGTGGTTTTTTTTCTTCAAGAGGTCACTGATCTTTGTTTTTTTCTTTCACTTCTCGTTCAAGAAGCTTCTTCAGCTCTGACTGGATGGTGAAGAAATGGAAGGATTCCCGCAGGGCGAACACAGATAAACCTCCAAGTGGCCTTAATGGCTCTCTCTAAAAGAACGTAAATGACCAGCTGTCTGCAAGGAGCATCAATCCTTCCGTTATTCCCCACCGTCCAGTCCACAGCTGAAGAAGCTTCTTGGATGAGAAGCGAAACATCTTCAGAGAAAAACAAAGGAAGTCCAGTGGTGTCATGCCCCTGTCGGAATCTGATTCTGAGGTGGGGGGGGGGTCAAACAGCTGACAGGGAGTGGGAGTGTGGCTCCGATAGCTGTGGAAGAAACTGGGGAAGGGCACAATCTGCCTGGGCATTCAGAGGAAGACCCAGGGCCACCCCCTCTTCATCCTAGGGCATGCAGGGAGGAATGGAGAAGGGAGCAACGTGAGTTACATGGTTTACGGGGAAGGAAAGGGCCCTGATCCCCTTCATTAGCTGCAGCTGGGAAAACTGTTGAAAAAGACAACTACGCACAGCAAAGTTGGTGGAAGCAAACCATGCATTTATCTTTGTTTGTCAAGGTTTATCTAGGTTCCTGGCGTCCTCCCAACTGTGTGTGTTTCGTTATCTTTTGAGTTCTGCAATTCCTTATCCTGCCCTGTCTTGTTAATTGCTGCAGCAAGTGGTTTCTGTTGGATTTATTTATAATTTATATGTACTTTGAGTTCGGACGGAATTTCTTCCCTTTAAAGACTGTTCTCGGGAGAGTTTTGTCTCCAGCCGATGATAACTGGACATTGGGGGTCAAGTTGGAGGAATTAAAGGGACTTTACTTACTTTTGTGATTTGGTTGCTTTTGTGCCACGCCCCTTTGGGTCATCACAAGTGGCCTCTTGGAGGAAAAAAAAAAGCCTCTTTGGGACAACCACGAACCGGATGGCTCAGAATCTCCATAGACAGATTACTTAGCAGATTGCAAGCCGAGGGGACTTGGACCTACATCCCCTCCCCCAGTTTTTAATCTGATGCGTTGACCTTACAGTGCTCTTATAACGCCCCCTTTCTCGCCAGGTCCAGCCGAAAGCCTGTTTAAGGAATCCTATTACCAGTTGATGAAAACCGCCCTGCGGGAAGACGGGATTCTCTGCTGCCAAGGTGATCCCCCTGGCCGGAGTGCCAGGTCTTGTCCAGTTCTCCCTGGCTTGAGCTAAACCCCTTCCTCGGCCTTGTTTTTTTCTGCCATTTTGCTTTTAAGATCCCCCTTAAAAAAACAACTCCCAAGCAGTCTGAACCCACCGGCTCTGCAGTCTCAGCATGGTTAACCCAAGTCAGTTGCAAATATCAGGGAGTCCTCGGCTTAACAACAATTCGTTTAATGACCGTTTGAACTTTCCACCCCACTGGGGGAAAAAAAAAGTTATGACCATTTTTCGCTTACTACCGTTGCCGCATCCCTACGGTCAGGGGGGTGCCAATTCAGGCAATTGACTCATATTTATGACGGTCGCAGTGTTCCGGGATCCCCATTTGCAACCCCCTGACAAGCAACCCCAATTGGGAGGTGGGGGGAGCCAGATTCACTTAACAACCGAGTTCCTAACTTCACCGCACTGAGTTGAGTTAACTCTGCGGACAGAACAGCTTCTTGCAGCGAGTTTCGTTAGCCACTGTGGCAAGTAAAGGTCGTAAGATGGGGCAACATTCATTTTAACACCTGTCTTGCTTAGGGGCATAAATTTTGGGCTCCGTGGTGGTTGTAAGTCGAGGACCACTGTAGTTTGCCTTTGCAAAATATGTTCAATGTGGGTTTTTTTCTTTCTTTTTAAATCTTGCTTTGCCGGTTTGGTTTATGGCTGGTCTCAGTGTGCATTCCCGGGTCTTTAGGGTTGGCATAAGAGCCGGAGGCACGTACAAAGTGGGAAAAACGGGTCTATTGAGTCATGAATTACTCAGTGCAGCTCTTTTATAAAAAAGCAAGGAAAAAAACATGATGAGGCTTGCAGGAGAACCGCATCTCTGATTCTGAGCAGCCTCGAGCCAGGCAGATAGGACAAATCTTCCTCTCCCATTTATTTTTTTTTATTTTTATTTTTTTCTTCTCTTGACCAGGGGAATGCCAGTGGCTGCACCTTGATCTCATTAAAGAGATGCGCCAGTTCTGTAAATCTCTCTTTCCGGTGGTTGAGTACGCCTACTGCACCATTCCGACATATCCCAGCGGCCAGATTGGCTTCATGCTTTGCAGCAAAAATCCAGTAAGGACCTAGAGGGTGTTTGGGTTTTTTGGGGTTTTTTTTGCCCCCGCGTTTGCATTAACGGAGTTAATGTAATTGTGTACGGAGGCCTGGGGCAAGGGAGAAGAAGAAGGTACACACGCCGGCCCTGTTCGTCCTTGGGAGACTTCAAATGTCTCCTTTTGCTGCAAGTCGCAGCTTCTGGCTTCTCAATGGTCTTTGTCATGCCCCAGTCGGAGTCTGAATCTGAGGACGGAGTGGGAGTGTAGGCTGTGGAGGAGGCTGGGGAAGGGCAAAGTCCAGTTGGGCAGAGCAGGGGACAGATAGAACAAGAGTAAGGGAGTTCAGAGGAAGAACCAGGCCCACCTCTTCTTCATCCTAGGGCACGCAGGGAGAACAAGGAAGAGAGCAACGTGGGTTGTGTGGCTTACGAGGGAGGAAAGGGCCCTGATTCCCTTCATTAGCCACAGCTGGGAAGACAGTTGATAAGAAAGGCAGGCTACGTGCGACAGGCTGCTGGGAGCAAACATGACTTTATCCTGTGTTGTCGTGGCTTATCTGTGTTCCTGGCATCTTCCCAACTGTGTGAGTTTTGCCATGCCTTCAAGTCTGAAATTCTTGCTCCTGCCCTGCCAAACTAATTACTTCAGGTTGGCTTGTTTGGACTTTAAGTTACAGTTTGTGTTGACCATGTTTTGGACTTAATTTTCTGCAGCCAAAGGCTGTTCCTGGGAGCGTTTTTCTCCAGCCAGAAGGTAACCAGGGCTTTGGGGGCAAAATTGGAGCTAATAAAGGGACTCTTATTGCTTATCTGACTGTGTTGCCTTTGTGCCACGCCCCGGATCGTCACAGTCTTCCTATGCAATGTCCACAGTAGTGGGCTGCTGCCGGTTTGGACCAGTTCTAGCAAACAGGTAGTTCTGACGATCAGCTGCCCCGCCCACCCTGTCCTATATCTCAGCTCAACCGATTCCGCACCTCAGCTGTTCCACTTGCCAGGGCTGCCTTAGAAGATAAGCTGTTTAGGTTTAAATTAAAGGTGTTTAAATTAAAGGTGTGTTTTTGAATGCTGCAGGCGCGCGTGCTCACAAAACCAGGTGTTACACAGGTTGCAGCCCACAACTGAATGTCCAGTGTGGCCTTGCCTGCTCACAGCCCATGCTAGAAGAAAAGTGTGTGTGGGGGGTTCCTTTCTTGGCACTTCTGGATAGAGAAAAAGCTGCACTTAGTGATTCCAAGGACTGTGAACGAATATAAACACGGTTGCTTTTGGGGGGGTGTTTCTCTCTCTTCCCCCCCCCCTCCCCGTGTGTGAAATCTTCTGCAGAACACGAACTTCAGGGAACCGATCCAGCTACTTTCTCAGGAACAAGTGGAAAACATGACCCTTAAGTATTACAACTCGGACATCCACCGAGCGGCTTTTGTCTTGCCAGAATTTGCACGAAAGGTAAACCAAGTGGTGGGAAATGTTTCTTTCCCCGTTTGACGTTAGCGTGACGAATCCCGCAAGTTATGGATGGGTCCCGCTGTCTCTGCCTTTGCCGGTGTGGTTCTGGAACCGGCCCGTTCGGTTGCCGTAACCTCTCTCCCTTTTCTGGCTGGCTCAGTCTCCCACCTCATCCCTTCCCTCCTCCAGGAGTTCAGCCTGGGAAAATCAGAACCGGCCCTGCTGTCCCCAGAAGAAGCAATTGTTGAATAAGCCCTTGCACAATTGTTTTATTCGTTCGGGGCAGAATGTTTCCCATGCTTTACCGGCCAGTTTCCTGTAACAGCTGTGTTTTTCTGCTTCTCTCCAATCTCCTCTCCTTTCCCCAGGCACTGAGTACTGTGTAAAAAAATGCCAACTTGGCCTCTTCCGTTTGAACTTCTGGAGGTCTCGGAGTGGCATCACCGTAGCAGCAGATTTTCTCCGGCGATGGCTCGGCCCTCCCGTCTGCAAGCCTGGGCACAACCCTCTCTGCCAGCTGGGCCTCCCTTCCTATTATGTATTTAAAAGAAAAGAACTTGGTGTTCGGCCCCTGGCAAGACTCCAAAATATCTACTTAAGCTTCGGTTGCAGGCTCTGCTCTCCTTCCAGCCGGCGTTTCCTTTTTAACTGCCCCGATTTCATGGCTCTGTATTTATAGCTAACAAATATTTCCTCTCCCCAGCTCTTTTTCTGATGCTTCCCCCTGTAACTCAGCAGAGGGGCCTGATTTGGCAGCATCCCCTTTCCCTCGAACAGTGCGATGTTTTCGAAAGCAAACACCCGCTTCTCATCTCATCCCCCTCATGTTCGTCTTCCGTAGGAGAAGCAGGTCCCTCGGTTTTACTGTTTGGGTATTTTGCCCTTTCCCTGGATTTTTTTTAGCTGACCCGAGAAGCGTCTGCCAGCTGTAAACTCTGCTTTGCCCGCCTGTCATCACGAGAGAAGAGGCTCCTTCCGTTTGTGCCGCCGGAAACATCCGTATCATCGGAGAGTTTCCAGCGACAGTGAATCTGGGCCTTTTCCACACAACCGCTCCCAAATTAACTGTCGTAATCATGCATCTTTGTTAAGCCGTTGCAGAAGCAGCCTGGAAATGAAATTAACTCTCGCTCCCAGAATCGTTTTGTACAAATGTGAAGATAATAACCGTGGCGTTTCACAGGTGGTTTGCAAAAACGGCAAATACCTTTTTTTGAGCTGGTTGTTCTGCTGCAAGTGGCCAAATTCCCAGCATGATGGTAAAGCAGGTGCCCTTGGACCCGGCCATGCCCATCTTTCAAATACCAAGATAAGATGCCAGTCGTCTTGGTTCAAAATAAGGGCCAAGGTCTGGGAATTCTGGGGGCTGTACCCCAAAAGATCTGGGGAGGAGAGGTGACCTGTCAAAGAGATCCCTGATTTTAGCCAGTTCCCCTTGTCACTCATTCTGCCTTGTGGGGAAATTGTGCCTATGTATAGACTGGAAGGGTATGTCTGTATGTATGGTTTTGTTTCCTTTTTTTAAAAAAAAAAAACTTTAAAATTGTCCTTGTCTCTTTTTTTTCCTCTTTTTTTGAGGGGGGTGGGAATTGAGGACAGCAGCCACTAACATTCTGCCCACAGAACTGGGGAGGCAAAACAATTTTTTTATTTTGGCCTTTTGCGTTAATACTAGGGTTTGTAGAATTCTGTGGGGTGAGAACTGCTGTCATAGTCGCTGTCTTTTGGCCAAGTGGTTGCGTCTTACGTAAACCACAGACCAATTATTTTAAAAAAAAATTACAGGTTGGTTCTTCTCTCATATTAAGCTATTTTTTCCTTGATTGTGCAAAAGCAATAACATTTAAGAGTTATACAACTGTTTCATAATGCTTTGCAGCAGTCTAAGCAGTTTACAGAGTCAGCCTATTGCCCCCAACAATCTGGGTCCTCGTTTTACCGATTTGGAAGGATGGAAGGCTGAGTCAACCTGCAACTGGTCAGGATCGGACTCCTGGTAGTTGGCGGAGTTACCTTGCAATACTCCATTCTAACCAATGCACCACCATAGCATATCTCTCATATTTTTATGAGCATATTTTTATTTTCCTCACTATTTAAATGCACCTGTTTTTGTGTGTGTTGACTTTCTTCAGTGTTTTAATAAAATGATTTTGGAGGGGGGGTGAAAGTATTCTTCCCAGTTTTTGTAAACTGAAGGGAGAAGGGTTCATTGTGCAACTAGAGTGGTATTGCTGGCAAAAAAAAAAAAAACCCAATTTCATCATTTTCGATCCCACCTTCCATTTCTTAAGGGTATGCAAATATTTGATTTGAAGAAGCAAATATTTGACTCTGAGACCTCCAAGTTCTTCACCAACCCTTTAAAAGGTTGCAAATGACCAGCGGTCTGCAAGGAATATAAATCTTTCCATTCCCCACTATCCTGTCAGAGCTGAAGAAGCTTCTTGGATAAGAAGTGAAATGTCTTAAAAAGAAAAAAAAAACAAGAAAGTCCAGTGGCCTGAAAAAAAGGCACCTTTGGGACATTTGAAGAAGCAGTTTCAAGGGAATTCAGCCTTTCAACCAAATTGCCAAATTAATTTGACACAGCAGGTGAGGTATCACAGCAGGTGAAATAATTTGAGGAAGATTAAGACATGGTTCACAGCCTTGAGGGACTCGGTACATACAGATAACGTTCAATTTGAAAATGCAAAACTATTTGACTTGAGCCGGATCAAGGTCTACCTGTAAAATCACCACCAGAGGATGCCATTCTGCAACAGTTGAATGTTGAGATCTTGGCCTAGGCAGGCTAATTAGTACATTGTGCTGCCCCCTTTTGGATCAGACTGGAATTGAAATTCACTTTTCTAAAAACCATACCTGGGATGCTTAGTCCCAGAATTGGAAGGAATGATTGAAAGGCATCTTTTTTTTCCCCCCACCCTCCAAAAAGACATCAGTCATTTGCATAACATCAAATTAGGGGAAAAAAAGAGAAAAAGCTAAATGCACTAACATGCTTAGTTTTTGTGTGTGCCTATTGTGCGAAATAAGACAACAGGATAATTCAGTAATCACGTTTAGCACTAGGCAAAAACAGCCTTTGGTTTGGTCGGGAATAGTGATGGAAGTGGGGGAGAGTCTTTAAGTGTGAGGCTGTGTGTTGCCGGAGAAAAGATGCATAGAGAAGGTCACTGCAGGAACATCCTATCGGGATGACTTCCCCATGGCTGAAGAAGGAGAAAGCCACCAGTGTTGTTTCCCCATCCCGCTTTTCGAAGATCACTTACGGTTCCAGTTCCTGCAAAACACACCTGGTATGATTCGGGCACGGCCTGTCTGGAGCCCAGCCAGCCTTCCATATGCTCCCACTGACCCTTCTGGACTCCTCTCGACTTTCTTTTCTGGACCATACCAAAGGGGAGCGAGACCCCTCGAGTTGCTTGCAGTGCAATTCCTTCATGGATTGGACCTGTTTAAAGAGAGAGCGCTAGGATGAACGTACAGAAAAAAAAAAAAAAGGCTCATGGGTTTCCATTGTAACGTGGAATTGATCTCCATTGTTGCTTTTAGCTTCCGCTGCCTCAAGAGAGATGTTCTTAGCTTGGCAACTTGTGGATACAGTCTTAATGCTAACACAGTAGGAACTTTTATTATTATTATTATTTTTTCTTAATGGTCAGAATCTCAAAAGCCTCTGCACCAGTGGTGGTATGCTACCGGTTTGTACTGGTTCAGCTGAACCGGTAGTAAAAAAAAAAAAGGCGCCGAAGATCAGCTGAGAGAATAAAGAAAAGCGCAGGATCGGCCTCCCCACCTGCCTTTGTTCTTTTCTTTATCCCCTCAGGTGATTGGCGCTGCAGACCTCAGCTGGTGTGGGGAAAGCTGTGCGCGCAAGTTAAAGGGCGTGTACGTTAGGGGCGCGCACACATGCGTGCATGATCACCAAACCGGTAGTGGAACCGTTAGGATCCCACTGCTGCTATGCACTAGAGCAGTGCTTTTCAACCGTACCACGGGTAGTACCATACTTTGGCAGTGGTAACACAACAAGCATAGCAGGGAGAGGTAGGGATGGAGCCGAAGAACACAACACAAGGCCACCACACCCAGAGAGAGATCTTGACCTTAGAATCCATTCTTCATGGATCAAGGAACAAGCTGCTAGGTTCGTGGCGATCCCTTCCGTGGAGCACCTTCTCGAGAACATTACGGCCTCAAGAGTCAAGGCAGAGGAGGAGGCTGGGTGTCCCTTCCTTGCCTTGGGACATTACCTCATTTCTGCCTCGTGCAAGGACGTGCCTTGGTTGGTCAGAGCTTCTGGTCTTGGTCAACTTGAGAGGCAATGGCTAGGAAAAGGGACAAGGTAGAACCTTCCTCTCTAACAGCCCGTTCCTTCCTGGAACGTCCTGATCTGGACCGCTCTCTTCAGTGAGAAAGCATGCACAGGGGCGGCTGTCTAAGAGCTGTCAGTGGACCTGAGGGCTGGGAGATGAACCCAAAGAGACCAACTCAAAGAAGAACCTTTGTTTTTATGCCATTTTTTGCGTAATCATAGAAGCTTAATGGAGCAAAGCAAGAATATACTGAATATACTGAATACACTGAAGCTAGTCTGCCTCGCAGCTTCTCTCTCGCAGCTTCCCGAAATTGATCCATCATGCCAATGGTGGGCAGGTTTGTTGCGGTGCTTCTGCTGACCTGGAGTATGTGTGCAGCTGCTCTGTCGGGGGAAGAAAACTTTTCTGCACAGACCAGCAAGGTAAGGGGTTTTTTGGGGGGTGGGGAATAAATTGACATTCCTCTGATATCGGTGAAAAGGGGGGGGGCTTTTTAAGGAAAGCGGGCTTTAAAAAGAATAATGGAATAGTCAGTGCTTCTGGCTGGAGGGACATCGGGGCATGAAAAAGATTTTATTTTTTTTCATAATAAGGGGCGTGCATTAGGCGGTCCCCGTGAAGGAATCCGAGACAAAGAAAGACATATTGTGGGGAGGGGGGAGATAACTGATCAGAAAGCAGAGACCCTTAAGATAAGCTTTTAGTTTAATTTTCCATGGAGAATTGCAAAGTGAAGAAAAGGTAAGAGAATTTTAAAGAATAACAATGGCAGCTTTTAAGAGTTCTCTCAAAAGCCAGATTCCCGGAGCTCCCCTCACCCCACCCGCCCTTAAAAGAAAACTTCTTTCTTGCAAGGATGAAAAAAATATATATCTCACTGTCCCTTCTCTGCTTTTCTCTCCCTCTCTCCTGCCTCCATCGCGACCATAAGGAGCAATGGAAAGCTCAGGAAATCCTCGTTCTGAAAATGCTCGCAGGAGTCGACGCAGATCGCAAGGCAGCGGCTTTCGCCAATTTCCAAAATCCTCTAAAAAGAAAGCGGGAGGAAGATCCCTTGATTCTGGTGCACTCACCACACCCCAGCCCTCCAGACCGCAAACCTCCCAACCCCCCGTGTACAAAGTTCTTTTGGAAAACCTACGCTGAGTGCTAACAAACCCTCCAAGGCCTTGCGGGCATCCGGAGCTGTTCTCGCTGTATATGTTGGGCCAGAAGAAAAAATAAATCACCGCCTGCGTGGTTCCTGCCCGGTCAGATGAGCCTCGATCTGCAGACAGGGTGGTGGGTGGGGAGGGGGCTTTCTCATCCCATTTTGCAACCTAAGTAAGCCGACGCTTACTGATTTTGTGATTATTTAATTGACAAATAAAGCATGGCCTGAGGACACTGGGCTGCACAGTCTTATGTTTATTTTCACCAAACCGGTAGTGGAACAATCAGGATCCCACTGCTGCTATGCACTAGAGCAGTGCTTTTCAACGTACCACGGGTAGTACCATACTTTGGCAGGCGGTAACACAACAAGCGTAGCAGGGAGAGGTAGGGATGGAGATGAAGAGGGAGCAGTGCCACACAGGCCTGTATAAAAACAAAGGAAAGGAATGGTCTTCAGCTGGAATCGGACTTAATTCTACCAGTAAGCCCTCTCCAGCCACGAGGGCTAAGATTAATGCCAGAGAAGCAGGCACAAGTTTCCCGTTAAAAGTGGGGGGTACTTTTATCACTTTTTTTTCCTTTTTTGGTCACCAATTTTTTGACACCTTGCAAGATATTGCCATGTCCTGAAAGCAGTACAATCTGTGAAAAGATGGCAAAGCATTAGGGCAGACTGGCTGCAAGGGGTCCAGAGATTTCCTAGCGGAATCCTTCTTGGTTCTAGAATAGCTGAGAGAAGATTTGCGTTGCTATCGACCAAATTACGCTTTGCAAGTCCGGATCAAAGCGTTAAGTGATCTACTTTTAGAGAGACATGGGTGATCCGTACATCCTTACACTCAGCTGGTGGGGGAAATTGTTCCTTTCCAAGGGAGCGGGGAGAACAGCCTTCCAGATGAATTAGCCTGGAGTTAACTCCACCCCCAGCCTCGCCGAGGGAGAAGGATGTTATGGGTTCTAATTCACAGATTTTTCCCACCCTGCAGCAAACCCAAGAAAGAGCCGATGGGTGACTCGGTCCTCAAGATGGCCAAGAACTGGGGATTCCTCCTCTGAGGTTGAT